GCTAGGTTGCGTGCACCGAATTCTGGGCTTTTCGGTTGCCACCGAATTGCCTTCTACCGAATTCGGGAAGGGTCTGTTCGGGACGCTTCGCGACCCTCAGAACCTTCGCGTAACACCTGGTTACTGGGCCTTGTGTCGAGTCTATATATAGCCTCGTGTTGTACCCAGGTGATTCATTCAATTCAAACCCACTTTTCTGAGCTCGATCCTAGATCCTCACACTTGAGATCCTGGAAGTTCTTATTCCCGAATGCAACTCTTGATTGCCCCAGCAACAAGTGGCTCCCACTTCTCCTTCTCATGCATTTCTACCGACAGGCTTTGCAGAGCAGGGACTATATGGCGTGCAACCTCTGCAGCACGCTCCGCCTCTTTATTGTCGTCATGTGCCCTTTCTGCGGCCTCCTTTGCTTCTGCTTGCCATGATGTGCTTGGAACGTTGATTGATGCAGACCATAGTGTGCAGAGCGCAGCAGCAATCCCTGTCGCGTATGTAACTGGGTTAACATCTTGTGGCGGGCTTGGTACCCCTACCTTCGGGCCAAGTAGGGCTGCTCTGGCCACCCCAGCAGAGAGGGCGAATTCAAACCTTACCTCCTTTGCAATCAGGTCAGTTGTTTTCTTCATCATGACTCCGAAACTGCAAAAGGGAAGAAAGTTGGACGCAGGGTTAGTATTCAGATCAAAAAAATATCGATGGCACCATTGTCAATGTGATATCAACACTCACTTGCTGAATTGGTCTAGTGACAGCTCGTTCATGATACTCCACACGCCAGTCGGCACTGTAGACGCGAATTGGAGGTCTGCAGTCCACTTTTGAACATCTGCGGTTGGGATCCCGTAAGACAGGAGGTCGCGATCCAGGAAGTACACCAACCAGCAGGTGAAATTTCTGCTCCAGGCCTCCTTATGTTATCCCATGTTCCGCTTCTTCCCCCCTACTCAGATGTGTACCTAATCTTGTCGGTGTTCTTGTTTTGCTCAAACAATCTGGGAGCATTGAACGGCCGCTCAACTCCCGCCCTCTTCCCCACGTCGTTGGCCTCGACAGCTGGCTGCTCATGTGGCTCATTGTCAGCCCTCTCTACCGACGCACCCGCAGCTTCACCAACTTGCACCACCTGCAAAATCCCATCACCTGGTAACGTCCCCTCGCCCCCACCCAGCGCTGCATCAACTACATGCACACCTCACTCCCCTGGCTGTGTATTGTTGGCAGAGCATAGCCTCTTCGCCTCCGGTGGTTCTACTTCACAATCCGGCTGTAGCTGTGGACGCCTCCTGTCCCCCGCTGCTTCTCGAGAGACCATCTCCTCCACATGCTCCACAACCCTTACAACAACCTCTGCCTCACTCTCCCTTTGCATACGATCCACATTCATCTGCACCGATCCAATATTTGCATTCATCTCCTGCATTTCTCCTTGTTTCTGCGCTCTTTTTGCTGTCGCCTTTGCTCTCCTTTTCTCCCTCTCCCTTTGCCTATGAGCGTCATGAACGTCATCTCTGGAATGCTCGTCTGGAAATGGTATGTTCTTCGTGTTTAGTGGAAGCGGCCCTTCAGCTGGTTCGACCCCTCCAGCTTCTCCAGCACCCCGACTGTGATTTGTGTCTTGTACTGCCGCCACCATTCCTAATCCCCTCTCCGCCGCGTTCATGTCTCATAGAGTTTCCCCCTCAGTGAGTGCTTGCGCGTCGCGCGGCAACAATGGTCAAGAAGCCATTAACCCCTCCGTCGGCTGCGCCCCCACCTGCCGCGCCGTCCTAAGCCTCTCCACCAGGCCAGCAGAAATCGAGATTCCTCGTTGTGCTGTCTGCCCAGGTTGGGATGTTCAGATTGGTGGTTCGGCATCTTGTCCAGCCAATTCTCCTCGTCCCCTTCCTCCCTCCGAATCCTCTTCCTGCCTATCGGGCACCCCCTCTCCATTGCGACCCGCAGTCTCTGTTCCCCTTACATCTGCCTCGCTAACAGTGTGCCGCTGATGCACCTTTGTCCTCTCTTGCTCGTCCTCCATTACCAAACGCGCCAGCTCGTCCTCCACTCGCTTTTGCTCTAACTCCATTTCCCTTTGCCGTCGTTCATCTTCCGCCCTCTCCCGCGTAGCCTCCTCCTCAAGGCGCTTCCGCCTTGCCTCCGCCATCTCAAGTGCTGCTGCCTTGGCTGCACGCCTCTGCGCCGCCACCCGTTCCTATTTGAGTCTTTTTCTCGCCTCCTCTGCCACTCTCGTAGTTCGTTTCGCCTCCTCTACCGCTCTCTGTCGCTCCGCCTCTTCATCGCGCTGCTTTTGCTCTGCCTCCTCCCTAGCACGTTCTTCATTCGTCCATGCAATGTCACTCTCTGCACCCCCCCTCCTGGCCACAGCCTCGTGTTCGCTAGGTCTCATCTGCGCCTCCCCTTCACCTCTAACCCGTTCCACCTCTCCCTCGGCCCGTTTTCGCCCTGTCTCCTCTCCTGCAAGACCTTCTTCACCTGCGATTGGTATGACATCATCGGCACGCCGTTTCTCTGCCGCTATATGCAGTTCGACTCTTCTATCCCGCTCCCCCGCTTCCACTCTTCTCCCCCCTGCCTCGAATGAAGGGTCATTATCCTCTGCATTGTCCACCTCAATTACTTCGACGCTTCCCCTCTCTGTACGCCTATCCGTCTCCAACCTCTCCTGTTCGCTCGTAAACCCCCACCTCTCGACCATGTTGGCGGCTACGGCGAGCGCAACATCTGGGGAGATGTCACCCGCGAAAGTTTGGGAAATCTGCGGACCATGCATCGGATTTGGCTGCTGCCCCAGCCCACGTCCAGCTAGCGTATTTGTAGAGATTGGCGGAGCATACGGAACTTGCCCGACTTCTATCCTCCCTAAGAGTTTCTCATCCACCGCTGCCATTATTTCGGCTTTCAAACTTTCAGCTTCTGGCAATTATCAACCATCGCCGATTTGACGTCCACTAGTGTTTCTTGGACGTTGGCGACCACAGCCTTCATTTTCTCCATGTAGTCGTGGGGCAGAACCACCCTAAGCCTTCCCTCCATCGCCGCCCGGCCCATTGCCGCGTCCACCCCCTCTTTCATGTTCTCCTTCATCGACCTCAATAGCACCTCGTACTCCCTTGCCACTGCACGCTGGATAGTTTCGGCTACTCTGCGATGGAGCCCTTCGATCGAAGTGTTGATTTACGTCCAAGTCTGTGCAGCTCTCTGGCGCTCCATGATTGCGATTGCCTTAGCTTCTGTATATTTGCGCAGCATGTTTTCTACGTCTTGGTTGTAGTCCTCTGTCCAGCGGGCAATGCGCGCCGCGCATGACTGGAGTTGGCGGAGGTTCCCACTGATCCTTGCATTCTGTTGTGCGGCGCTGTTGGCGACATCATGCGTGACTTGGGTAAGCCGTCGGAGAACCTCGCCCATACTGTCGATACCTCTACCAACACCGTTTGATTCCGACTCTACAAACTCGTTGTTTGTCTCTTCCAATAGCGCCACTCCTTGCATGACGCTTTGCCGCAGTGCGGTCTCGGCTTCCCTCCATTCTGGATTTACCTATGCCCTTCCACCTTCGTGGCATGTCGTTCGAAAGTGCTCTCTAACTTCACCCACAACCCTCACCACTTCATCACCTGCCGCCTGCTATGCCATCCTCTCCTCTCGCTTGACCCTTCCACTCTCTGCTTGCAGTCTTGCTCGTCGCGCGCCCGCCTGTTCGTCCCATCTACGGCGCAATGTCTCGACCTCTAGAATTGCTCTCTCTGCAGCCGAGGCTCTTTCTTGCTCCACGTCTACCAACCTCCGCTCCTCCTCGGCTATACCAATCATCCAAGACCCGTGATGCATCGCCCTCTGTCGTCGCCCTCTCCGCGTTTGCCATCTTCTCTTACGATTCCCTCTCCCGTTCTGCAAACTCCCTTGCGCTCCGCGCGTCCTCCTCCAGTACCCGCCCCAACGCCTCGGCCTCTACCCTCGCCATGGATTCATCCTCTAGCCTCTCCTGCACCCCTTCTGCCCGACATTGTTCCCTTTGAGCCATAAGCCGCTCTTCAGCCTCTGCCAGCTCTTGTTCTGCTTCTATCTGCTCCTGCATTGCCCTGGCCCTCAACCTCTCTGCCTACTCGCGTTCACTCTGCGACCTTAATTCATCCACCCATCTGCGGTGCATCTCCTCAAGCTCTGCAGTTGCCCTCTTCCGCCAGTGCTCTTTCTTGAACCCCGTCTACCCTCCTATGCTTCGTCGATGTCGTAACACTCTCTGTAACCACCTCCCCTCTGCTCCCCATTGCCCCAGAACCTGCATCAAGCCGCTCCGCATTCAACTCCACGTCAACCATCATCTCATGGTTCTCACCTGCACGTCACGTTGCTCCTTTTTCTTCGCTGCGATTCCTTGCCGCAGCCTCCGCCCTCTCCATTACAACGTCTGCAACCCGCTGCTCCTCCGTGGCAATGCGCGCCTCCTCCGTGGCAATGCGCGCCTCCTCCCTTGCAATGCGCACCTCCTCTCTGCGTAGTTTCGCCTCTGCCTCCACCCTAGCCCTCTCTGCGGCCTCAGCCCTCTGCCGTTCCTCCTCCGCTCTCTTCCGCTCCTCAGCGGCCCTAACCCTCTCTGCCGCCTCCCTTGGACGGCGCGCTTCCTCCTCTCTGCAAACCATTGCCTCTGCCTCCGCCCTCACCCTCTCTATAGCCACTGCCCTATGCCGTTCCTCCTCCACTCTCCTCTACTCCTCTACTCCTCTGCTGCCCTTGCCCTCTCTGACGCCTCCATTGCAAGCCGATCTTCCTCCTCCTTGCGTAATTTCGCCACTGCCTCCGCCCTCGCCCTCTTTGCATCCGCAGCCCTCTGCCGTTCCTCCTCCATACTACTCTGCTCCTCTGTGGCCCTCGCTGTCTCTGCATCCTCACTCGCACGCTGCGCCTCTTCCTCTCTGCGTAGTTTTGCTTCTGCCTGCACCCTAGCTCTCTCTGCGGCCTCAGCCCTCTGCCGTTCCTCCTTCGCTCTCTTCCGCTCCTATGTGGCCCTAGCCCTCATTGTCGCCTCCATTGCACGGCGCGCCTCCTCCTCTCTGCGAACCATTGCCTCTGCCTCCGCCCTCACCCTCTCTACAGCCACTGCCCTCTGCCGTTCCTCCTCCACTCTCCTCCGCTCCTCTGCTGCCCTCGCCCTCTCTGCCGCCTCCATTGCAAGCTGATCCTCCTCCTCCTTGTGTAATATCGCCACTGCCTCTGCCCTCGCCCTCTCTGCAGCCGCAGCCCTCTGACGTTTCTCCACCGCTCTCCTCTGCTCCTCTGCGGCTCTCGCCCTCTCTGCCGCCTCCATTGCACGACGCACATCCTCCTACTTGTGTAATACCGCCACTGCCTCCGCCCTCGCCCTCTCTATAGCCACAGCCCTCTGCTGTTCCTACTCCGCTCTCCTCTGCTCCTCTGCGGCTCTCGCCCTCTCTGCTGCCTCCATTGCACGCCGAGCATCCTCCTCCTTGCTTAATACCGCCACTGCCTCCGCCCTCACCCTCTCTGCAGCCACAGCCCTCTGTTGTTCCTCCTCCGCTCTCCTCTGCTCCTCTGCGGCTCTCGCCCTCTCTGCTGCCTCCATTACACGCCACGCATCCTCCTCCTTGCTTAATACCGCCACTGCCTCCGCCCTCGCCCTCTCTGCAGCCGCAGCCCTCTGCTGTTCCTCCTCCACTCTCCTCTGCTCCTCTGCAACCTTCGCCCTTTCTGCCGCCTCCATTGCAAGCCTCACAACCTCCTCCTTGCGTAATTTCGCCTCTGCCTCCGCCCTCGCCCTCTCGGCAGCCGCAGCCCTCTGCCGTTCCTCCTCCGCTCTCCTCTGCTCCTCTGCGGCTCTCAAACTCTCTACCGCCTCCATTGTACGCCGCGCATCCTCCTCCTTGCGTAATTTCGCCGCTGTATCCTCACCCTTTTTCTCTTCTGCCGTCATCTGCTCCCTCGAGACTCTCGTCCTTTCTGCATCCTTCCGTACACGACGATTCACCTCCTCTATGCGTCGAAACTCCGCCCAATAGAGAATGGTTATTTAACACAAATCCTAAGAGCAGGCAATTTTGCAGCAATTTCAGGCTTTCCATGCAGTACAATGCATGAAAACCTTATCTAGCCTTAATGGATTGAGCCGAAAATGGTAGTGGGATCTGGAAATAGATTCATGAGACTCCCCAATCATTTTCAGAGCTGTAGGACAAGTAGAGAATGGTTTTTTAACATAAATCATAAGAGAAGGCAATTCTGCAGTAATTTCAGGCTTTCCATGCAGTACAATGCATGAAAATACTATCTAGCCTTAATGGATTGAGCTGAAAGTGGTAGGGGGGTCTGGAAATAGTATCATGAGACTCCCCTATCATTTTCAGATCTTTATGACACGTATTGGCTGGTGCTTTGAAATATATCCTATGTATTGGCCACCATGGCAGAAACCATCATCATAAACCTATCTCTCCTTTTTTTATTGAGCTGAAAATTGGTAGGGTATCTGGAACAAGTTTCAAGAGACTCCCCCAAAACAATCAAAGCATTTGGACCGGTAAAAGTTGGTTTGTTAACTTAAATGCAAAACCAGGCAACGTCGTCGAAATATCATGCAGGCTTGTGAAACAACCAAATATAGTAGGACATAGACGCAGCACATACTTCTTAAAAAAAAAAAAAAAAAAAAAAAAAAAAAAAAAAAAAAAAAAAAAAAAAAAAAAAAAAACATGCTCGAAATTAGCACATGTCCATGATAGCCAGAGAATGAGTTGTCAAGTGCCCTAGGCTTCATTGGTATAGCTTGATATGTTGGTTTTGGTGAATTTCAGCAGAAAAAAAACTTTTAATTGCTGAACAGTACAGAAGGTCTAGGGTAAATCGTAGAGCCATTCAAATGATGATTTGGACCACAAACCAAATGGTTATGTGCCCTAAAGGTCATTGAAATATGCGTGCATTTGGAGCCATAAACCAGCCTAAAATGTGTTTTTGGCAATCCTTTCAGTTGTATTATGGTAAAGGATATTACGAATAGTAAATTGAGAAGTACTGTGCATTCCTATCAGTAGCAAGTGAAGAACGCAGTAAAGAGTACGAAGACGAAAAGACGGAATGACGCGAAGAGTCGCGGACGGTTATGCAGCATCTGGACCGTCGGAGCAGAAGCATCGGGTCACTGCAGGGGCAAAGATTGTGGCAGGAGCAGGTTCGTAACCGTCTGGAGTCGCACGGTTGCACTTGTCAACGGGAGTTGTGTGTTGGCCCCGTCCTCGCTTGGGAGGAGCCGACTTGGTAGTCGGATGAGCGGGGAGCGCAGCCGACCTGCTGCAGTGGGCGACGCCAACTTGGGCGAGCTGGTCGATAGGGTTGGTTGCCCTGCACAGGGCCACTGCAAGGCCGCCGACTTTGGGATGCCGGCGGCCGACTTCTACGGGTGGTCGACGACGGGGCTCGTCGACCTGGGAGGGCGTCGACTTGGTGACGCCGACCTGGGGAAGCCGGCTGGGTGCAGTCGGCGGTCAGCAGACCTGACTGACCAGAAGTGGTCGACCTGGGGGAGTGGCCGACTTCGTGAAGTCGGCAGAAGGTGGCCGTCGACCTGGACAATTGACGGGCACGAGGTTCAGCACTTGGTCGGCGTGGTTGCCCGGTCGACCAAGTTACCCGGGCTACGGGGATCTGCAGAGGTGCGCGATAGTCGCCCAGGTGGTTCTGGCGAAGCCGACCTCGTAGGTGGTATCCCGAGGTCGACGTGGGTGATCAGGCGCAGTCGTTGGCACGTGGTCGGCTTGGCGTCTGCTCTGTGCACGTGACGGTGTACAGCACGCCAACCAACTGCAAGCACCTGCGAAGTAGGTGCGCTACTGTCATGCGGGTGCAACGCTCTACAGCCGCCTTGCTGCAGCGTTGGCACGCCGTCGACTTGCAACGTTGGCACGCCGTCGACTTGCAACGTTGGCAAGCCACCTCTCTGCAGCGCTGGAGCGGTGCGGACTTTGCTGCGCTGGAATGCGGTCGACCATGCTGCGCTGGAGGTCGACTTGCCATGTGCGCTAGGCAGACTTGCATCTGATGTAGTCATTGTTGCCAATGTTGTTGCTACCATTGTTGTGAACTTTTGCTAGTGAAACTCATGCCAATTCTCCCCGTGAATATGTGCGTAGAGAGAACACGAGCATACACGCAAGGAACGCTATGATCACTCTCACAACCATTCTTTCCCCGTAGTCTAGCTCCCGTTGTAGTAGTTATCTCCGCAGCACTTCGCTGCAATAAGGGAGTGTACCCCTTAGAGTACATGGCTAGTCTAGGTCGTTTCGTATTCCCTTGTACTCTTATATAAACAAATGTATTTGCATGTTTTATTAAAGTCAGTCATTTTACATTCACTCTGACCTGAGGTCAATTCTTCCGCAACAACAAACTCTCTGCGAACCAGGCTCGGTCAACCTTCTGATCGCAACATGGTATGAGAGCGACTCATGAATCCTTCGCACTGCCACCTCCGAAACACGCTCACGCGTATTGATGGCCGGAGGATCTGGAGGTCAGAAAATCTGACCGCTGAAGCGCAGACCAACCTGGCTGCGATAAACGAGGAGACGACGACGATCAGTACCGTCGCACTCGAACAACTGCTTCAGCGACTTTCGACTCTGGAGGAAGGGCTCCAGACATTGCATAATGGCGACGCGGGAAACTCCTCCCAGCCCACTTAACCGGCCGCGAATGGCCACGATACCGCCCGGCACACCTTCTCCCTTGACATAAATGGTTCAACACCCAAGGTCCCCCGTCCCAGCGACGATGCAATTCTCTCAGCTCAATCAAGGTCTTTGCACATATCAGAATCAAAGACAAGTACATGTTTTGACGGCAGAGACGCCTATACTTGGAGCTTCGAACTGGAGGTGCTGCTGCAGAACATGCAGATATTCCACTACTTTGACGGGAGCTACGCGGGACCCACGGCCGACACTGAAGAAGCCAAAGCGCAGTACTATAACGACTCGCTTATGGCATACAGCGTGTTGCTTCGCAACATGTCGCCGGCGGAGCGGGTGGGAATTCGTTCCTTCAAAACATCACCCACTCCGGCACTAGAAGCCTGGCGACACCTCACAAAGGTGTATCAGCCCAAGGACTCTGTGACGTCGAGCCGACTTCTTCAACAGCTGATGGAGATCAAAATGGGACCAGAGGAGAAGGCGAACAACTACATCAATCGTTGCCGGAGCATCCGCGATCAAATCGCGAAGCACGGGAGTTCAATTTCTGAAGAAAATTTGTTACAATCGTGCTCGCAGGACTCAGCCCTGAATGGCGACCCTGCAAGGCGCTCCTCCGGCAGCAGGGGGCTATCTCGGAAGCCGCCCTATGCGCAGCCCTTCACAGGATATGGATCAGCAGCGCTCCGCGCCACGACAAGAACGAGAACGTCTCGCCTTCTACGCCGACAACACAGAAGAGCGACGGCCACGGCGCCTCTACTACAAAGTCTGCACAAACTTTAGGCACTCGGCGGAGCGATGCAAATTCCGCTCTCGTCCCCGCCAGTCCAACCCGAGCACCTGGACCGGCCGACAAGACGCACAGCAAGATGTGCGTCATGCCTAGGTCTATCAGCACACATCGTGCAACGCGAACCCAACGGTTAAGCACCAACACCAGCAGCCGTCGCAACAAGGACCCGCGCGTAACGTCATCGGCAACAAGGCGATGACAAATACGCGCAGAACCCGTCGTCGCCGCGTGCGCTTGCCGCCGCCAGAGCCAGCGCCGCACCCCATTGGGCCTTCAGAGTCATGCATGACCACGACTACAACGACGACGACGACGACCAAGATGGGAATCTTCCAATCCCGCTGCTTGAGAGCCCCCCGCACGTACCTGATTCACGCGCGGCACCCTTCGACTGGCTCTCGCGCAAACAATTCCTCAAGTTTGACACTCCGCACATCGTCACGCCGCGACTGGCGCTGCTCGCGCGCGATGACCACAGGCACCACAACGCGTGGTACCTCGACAGCTGCTGCGGGCAGCATATGGTGGGCTCCGCGCGTTTCATATCCAACGCCGTCCCAACCCCCACGATTACGTACATCACCGTGGCGAACAACGACCGCTTACGCGCAAGTGCGCAAGGCATTGTCGTCCTCAAGGTGCATGGCAGCAACACGCACGTCACGCTAAATGACGTGCTCATCGTGCAGCATCTGAGGTTCAACCTCCTCTCGGCGTCTCAACTTGCAGATTGCGGAGTGTAACTCAGCACCGACCCCAATTCCAGTGACATCATCCTGCACTACGTCGCGCCTGACAAGCCACGCAAGCAGATCGGCCGAGCACACTCCGGGAACGGCATATACGTGCTCGATTTTGACATCCACAACTGCAGCAGCGACTCGAACGAGTTAATCGATCTCGTTCCGCTCCGTTTCGAGCACATCCACCGCTCTGAGAGGAAGCATCCCGACAGAAGGCCATGGGTTCCGCATCACCCCCACCTGCACGAGACAGCATTGCACGACCCCGATCACGACGTCATTTGCAGTGATTGTCACACGCCGACTGCATCGACGAACGCAATCGCGGGAAGGGAGCTTGCCGCCATCGCCAAAGCAGAACGATATGCTCTGCTAGACGAGGGAATGTCGGCGTTAGAGCTCGAGATCGCATCGCGCCAAGTTTTCGGAACTCCAGAAGCTCCCCTCCCTGGAGGACGACGTAGTGGAACATTCGACTCGCGCGGAGAGGTGCGACCGTACACAAATGAGGAATTCCTGAAAGTTGACCCCCACTGGCGTGACCTAAAGAAGAAGCTCACCGTCGCGGAAGAAGAGGAGCTCGCGTGACGCGAGGCAGAGGAACTTTGCCAGAAGAGCATCGGCGAGGCGTGGAACCTTCGCCTGCGGTGCATGGGGTGTAGAAGAAGAAGAAGAAGAAGAAGAA